CTGATAGTTGATCACCTTTCATCTATTAGTAAATTACATGCTATATTATAAGGACGATAGAATTTCAAATATACCATAGTTATAACTTAGCTATGCCTGGTTTAATCATGAAATATAGTTGGACTATCTGCTACTTACTATACCAATCTTAAATGTACAGTTTTCTTTTCCCTTAATAATTCCCCGCTCTTTGAGTTTTCGGTATCTTTGCAGTGCTTGAAGATTGGTTCACCTAAGGTTTAATATTTAATTTTTGGTTATATAAAGATATTATAGACTTATTCATAAACAATGGTTAAGTCGATAATTCCAATGAATCCTCCAACAACTTTTAATTAATATCAGAAGGGGTTTTGTGGATATTATAGTAATTTCAATGGTTGAGATCATGAATCAATTGAAGCTAGACCACCATGGAAGAAGCGGAAGCACTGAACGTCCGTTTCGTCATATTGTGGGACTCCTCAGCAGTACGCATCCACGATCCCGCCTCGTGGGATTCCAGCCCAGGACCAATCATTCTCGCGCGCGAGCGTCTAGCCACCAGACCACTGAGCCGGCCGGCATCCAACAGTATTAATGTCTAGCTCCAACTAATCGACAAAATTGAGCGACATATCTACCATTGTCATCAGTGAGATAGTAACTCACTGATGACAATGGTAGATATATCGCTCAATTTTGTCGATTAGTTGAACTTTTAATTAGTTAGAAGACCACGGAAGAATATAAGAGGTTCCGCATTTCAAATATTCCTCAATTAAAATCATTTTAAGTTAGCACTTGAACACTTAGGTAAAAAAGTTATGCCATCAACAGTTTTGCGATTGTATGGTACTTAGGAAATTAATTAGAACTGAAGCCATATTAAAATTTTGAACTTTTTTTTATTCAGCAAAATAACCGAAATATAAAATTCACTGAAATACTTACTTCAGATACCCATAGACGTCCTTGATTTTTATTAAATCGAAATCCCCAAGGTTGAAAACGACCTAGACGTAATAATCTAAGATCGAATTCTTTTTCATTAAGAATTTGACTTGCAAAACGATATAAATTCATTCAAAGAAGTTCTCTCTCTTTATATATATATATATATTTGATATATGAATAAGTGTGAAGATAGTGTTTAAAGAAATATTATCAACTGTGAAATAAATTCAACCAATATATTAACAAATGATAATTATTACAGTTCATAATATACTTGATGAATCTTTAATGATAGAAATATTCATATGGATCTGTCATCATTTAAGATAGAAATTTGATCATTTCAATCAGTTTATATATCATTTTGTTTGTTTTTTATTACTAAAGTCAATGTTTATTTACTTAGTTTTAAATAAAAATAAAAATCTTTCGAACCTATCTTTTACTTTTTTTTTCATATTTTAGTGCATAATCTTGATTTGTCAAGTATTTAACCAATAGATTAGACAGAAAAGTATCACGTGTATTTATAGTTTACACAATATTTGAATTCCCTTTAATAAAATATTTATTTATTTATATTCAATGGATTGAATAGTTAAACAAATGACTATATTTGTTTCTGTTAGTTAATTTAAAATTACATTTTATAATATTAGATAATCATTTACAATGTTTGTTCTACTTAGTTATTCATTAATATTTTGTAAACAAGTATGTTTCCTTGACAAGTAGTTCATGTAATCAATGTTTAGACTATAATTTATGGACGACCTAGATTGACCTTGAAACTGTCCACTTAATAACTAAGACTGAATGAGGATTATAAACCTTTGTGAGGAATACGAATTTTGATTTACAGTTGATGGTTAAGGTTAGTAATTATATTTAAGGTTTTCATTACGGACTGACATCAGCTGTAATGTCAAAGTGGTATTTAAACAAATGAGTAGATGAATTTTGCACCAAAATCCGAGACCTGTTATCTTTTATCTGATTGGTTCGTCCATAAATTATAGTCTAAGATATTTTATACTCCCCCCCCCTATTACCTAATTCTTAAAATAAATCTTATTCACACATTCCCATCACCTGATCCTCTTAAATCATCTTAACTTTCCGAACCCTATTTAATTATTATTACGTAATCTACCTTATCATTATTTAATTCCATTAATCTCTACAATTATCACACAATTTATGAACTTCGCTAAATTATTACACCACCCACCCTGGATTAAACCCCCTCCTTTGACCTCTGACCTGTTTCTAGCATATATATATAGTTATTATTGTAATCACGTTATTTACACTCATTTATGTCAATTGTTTCACACTATCTCCATGTAAAAATTCTATCACAATTTTGGTCTGTAAGCAGCTGACCAGAAACCTCGAAATAATATGAATTCATACTATTCTGCATCAATGTTTGTTCTTGCTCTATTTAAATTCATAAAGGGAACCAATTGCATGAAATTATAGTCTCGCCTAATCAATGATTATTGTCTGAAATTACAATTATAATAGTACATTCATCTTTTCAAGAAAATGAAATTAGAATCACATTCCACATAGGATAGATTTTCTAGACAATAACCATGCTGTATTATACGCATATCAATTTAAAATCTGTTTTTTAAATGTACTTTATGACATCTGATGCATTTTTCATATTGATGTTAGATATTTTTAGTTCGTATTTCAACATTTTTTAAAGTTGTCACTTGTAATGCCTAGCATAAATAAATAATTGAATTGAATAAACGCTGACAACCTATTCGGTGGTTTCGATTGAAGTGTTCTGATTCTTGTAATAACTTTTGAAATATCAAATGAAATGTATCGCTCAGCTCTGAAATCACAGATATGATCGTTAAACATCTGTTATTGACTACTCAAATGTAAACAGTAATTAATATAAAGTTATGAAAAACTAGGTGTAGACGTAGAAATAGCAATGTTTCCATAATGCAAACTGAAGACTCTGAAGGATCGCGATAAGCACTTAGACACTAAAACTACGAGAGTAACATCCAGGGGTAAATATTCCCAACTCCGATCAATTCGTGATGACTGTTCCCCTCTCAATATTTCTGAACTCCACTGGTTATGACATTTCACCAGAACTTCAAGAACGTACATCCTAGTTAGTATTTAAGTAAGTTGAGGATTAGTCTATATATGGGGGTTATGTGGAGGACCCAATTCCAAAACCTTTAACTCGAACACGTTAATTAATCCAGTGAAATATAATCAGCACAAACGTTCTTGAAACCAAGGTTATTACAATTTTGAGGGCTACATGCAAATGAGATGAGTTAATCGCAATGGTTTAACTATCACATTTCTGCAACACATTCCCAAAAAGTAACAGTTTAAGCAAGGTATCCATGTCGTTTACATGTGTTCGACCAAAGATACGCTAGTGTTGATCTCTATGAACAGGTATCAGGTACCCATAATAGGGACGTGGTTTACGTACTTCTGAACATGTTTCTATCAATTTATCCATCACATGCATCGTTATTATTATTAAAAGAACTGAATGAGTTTCTAAACAATACAATTTATGTTTTGACATGCACATCGATCTTTCATTATCAAGTTTTTTTCATCCTTGAACTTGAACTTTATTTATTCCTTCATATCAATCTCTCACACATACATACATACATACACACTCACACACATACGATTTGTTACTCAGTTAAGTATTTCCATGTAGTTGAATTCATCACATGATTTGTAGTCAACTGACTCATTTTATCCTATTTTACAAAAAATCAACACCCAAATATGATTGGTTTAACACAGTATAATCCTGATTGTTAAAAGCTATATATTTCTTTGATAATTTTGATTTTGATTATTACCCTGAAGAAGTCCAGACAAGTTAGCTGGACGAAACGTTGGAATTAGTTATATTTCAAACGCTGAGAATATTTCAAATATAATTTTCACATATAATGAATTTTATGAACATTTTCCTTTTTTTTAAAACTTGCCAAACAATGTTTAGAAATTTTGATGTTTAATTTACCTTTTAAAATATTAAATTCTTGTAATGCACTTTGATGTTTCATTTCTAAAAATACAGCATAAATTCATTAGCATTTGAGTACCGTAAATCCTTTTAACAATTAACCTAATTCAATTTTTGGCAACGACCTAGTTCTGATTATTTCTACACCTTGTTAGCTTTGTTCGTCTTGCCGAAACGAGCTTTATGTAATATTCATCTAAATGTTCCATATACTGCTAAAATCTTGCTACTGAAACATCCTGATCTAAATTCAAAGTATTTAACTACAATTTTGAACAAAAGAATCTACTTAATACATTACAATGTCATTTGTTACCAATTTTTATGAGTAAATGATCTACTTATTCCAATTTGATTTCTCCTCTTAGAGCGAAGGAACTTGCCGATCTCTATTATTTCGATGTGGTCAACGGTAAATGCCTCAGGTGAATATACGTTATTTTCATGTTCATTTTACATCCTTTTTCTTATTCATTTATTTGAAAGGCATATTTACTTTTTAATTATCCTTTTGAATAGAAAAATAACATTCAGATAATTTACGTCATGAGCTTTGTGAATTTTATGAGTATTTTAGTCTTTTATTACTGTATTGTCTTTCTGAACAAATTTTATTTTTTGGGGTTTAGCTGGTTTGTTACATCCAATGAATCAACTGTTATGCTCTATAGAAAATTATAATTTAGGCGGTTATACCATCATAGTTGGAGATTTAAGCTTTAGTGTACTGAGTGTACGAACAATTGTTGGACAATACTTTCCCCAATATCACACTGTAAATCAGAAATGTTCTGGTAGACATTTTCTATCGGTTTGATTTACAAGCTTTACACTGAACTTTTAGACTAAAAACGTATAAATTACACGTTAGCAATAAAATTTCTTTACAATATATATATATTGTTTTTACCAAGAATAATTATACATGATAATATTCTCAATTCGAAAGAAATGAGAAGACAGAAGATAGCGTGTGTTTATCGAAGCAGGCATACATGAGAATTATGCTGTATATATATTATTTATGTTTGCCATGCTTTCTGAATGGTTTTCCAGGTTTAGAAGTTCTACTCTTATTCTTTTTACTATTATTACTATTAATGTGACTTTTCTCCTTTGTGTTAGAAATATTTCTACGTTTCTTCTGCTTGTTAATGCTAGTTGACATGTAATCATTTTCATTTGTTTGCTCTCCAGGAACAGTTGACATTGCACTCATAACTTCTGAAATTTCTTGCTTTTTAGAGGCAGGTGCTTCAGATGCCCAAGATGTTCGTTTTAAACCAGGCTTAGTAGCTATTTCATTGATATTGGGTGTAGGCAAATCGTCAACAGCTGTAAATATGGTAACACCTTTAGATTTTACACGTTTTCTCATTGACTCCACTGCCTGCATTCAACAAATAAATAAACGAATGAATAAGTGTATGATGGACAAGTTAATAAATATTTTATGAAATTGATATTAGTTTGCATAATAACGATAAACTAACCTGATTCGCTCTAAGAGATGCCTCTTTTACTCCTATATTTAACTCCTCAATAGCTTTTTCTAACTGTTTATCTACTGAACTATTTGGTTCAACTAATGCAGGAATCCTTTCATGACCAAGACCACCAGCAGATATCAAGTGCGATTCAATCTCCTTCAAGAAGAACGTAACAGAGTATTGGGTAAGTAATGTTAAAGCACAACCAAGGCGACCAGCTCGAGCAGTTCGTCCAACTCGATGCATGTAGATTTTCGCATCTAAGGGCACATCGTAATTCACCACTAACCCTACTTGTGGAATATCTAAACCACTGGGTAAGAAAGAGAAATGTATCAACTTTTCAAGATGGGTATTCATTTATAATAGTAAGCACAAATAACAAAACAAGCTATTAAAGCTTAAGAGCCCTTCAACATCTAATGGATCACTAAACTAATTATTTTGAGATGTCTATCAGTCATAATTGGGAGAATCGCCATAATAAATAAACTATAACAAGGCTATATACTATGAAAAGATGTTTGCGACAGCTTTCTTAATCATGACTGAATAAAGTGTAGATTAGTGTATTCTGCTCGACCCTGATTGTCCAAAAGGGAAGATAGGATGGATTTTTTGAACCTGCAAGACAAGAGTTGAAATTTAGATTATTTAACCCCCTAAGCTATTGCAGCAGTCTGTAGTAATAAAATACTAATTCGAATGTTTAACCAACTAACTAAGTACTAAAGAGGAGAATGTATGAGTAAAAGAGAGTAAGTGATATCAGCTAATAAAATTATTTTTAACACTATTAATAGAACAGCTATATATTTCTTGTTATTGAACTAATCAAGGGCAAGAGTCTTTACGTCTTAATAGCAATCAAAAACTGTATGTGACTGTAACAAACTAATTTGTAGATGGTGAGCATCGGTCAGTTGAATCAGAAATAGATCATATAACAACACAACTTGACTAAAGTTGAAAAATGGTAGCTTTCTTTAATCAAGTCTGCTAGTGGCAATATCCTTAACAGAAAATACGAAAGTGATGAGTGCGATGAAGCTGTTAAACAAGATGAACTATATTGAGCATTTGTTAATACTCTAAGCTTTACAATAGATTTTAATCGATTTTAATTCAAACTGATGATTTACAAACAATAATTTATGCTTCACAGTATACACTAACTTGAACATAAATGATGTAGATAAGACAACTGTAGTTATGCAACGTTAAATTATATGATGCGTAGTAATTTGAACTGACAGATGGAAAAATAGGTGTAAAATTGCTAGGTTTGAAGAGGTTACGAGTTTACTTAGGCTGCGAACGGAGCAAAGACTCGATGACCAAAGACAAATAAGCTAGCTCTATTCGATGCGTCCCAGCCCCGCTAACTAGAGGAAGAAGTCCAAACTTGGAATGAGGAAGTATATTCCGCAAACAGCCAGAAAACGAGCGATAACAACAAACACAAATCAAAACGTATATATACAGCACAAAACCATCCTTGGAGAGAGTTACAAAATAGCATACTAAAAGACACAACGGACCAATGGCATTTAAGATTCTCCCAAGTGGGAATACGACATGAAGGTGAAAAGAGCGCTTTTGGCGCGAAAACAAAGAGTTCACATTTTCTGGATAAAATTACAAAATTGGGTCGTTTTCTAAGTGAGTTCTGGGATTCTAACGTCCCCAACAAAAATCAACCGAATAAGCTAGAAAACAGGAACAGGAACTGAAAGTAACATCCGAATTCTAGTGCGACGACCATCCAATGCCACTGGTGACAATTACTACCTTATTCTCCACCAGTGACGATTTCTTCACTAATACTTCAGAAACATCCCGAAGTAAATTAATGGTGAGCTGGCTATTATAGTTAGGTTGGAGGAGTTTAGTGGAGAATGGTCTAGCTAGTAGGCTTTGGTTGATGAGCCGTATACCAGTATCAAAGAGCCGCCCAGTTCTTCCTGGTTTTCAATGGTGCCCAAACTGAAATCAATCTGTGACAAGTACAACCTACAGATTAAACCAATCTCCACAAAATAGCTTCAACTAAAAGCGATGTTGCTAGTAAAGACGAGCAACAATCATGTCATCTTAAATGACTGTTAGCTTAGCTTTCAAGCCAAGAGGTAGACAACATAGAAACGCTTACCGGCTTGCCACATCTGTAGCTACGAGAACTGCACCTTGAGTTCGTTTAAATTTGTGCAGTGCACCTAATCGCTGAGCTTGAGGCATATCTCCATTAAGTGCTATGACAGGTTGACGAAGAAATTGACGCAACAACAGATTCAGTCGATTACTGGCTACACGAGTTCGGGTGAACACAATCACAGAGGTTGACATAAATGATCTGTGCCAAATGTTTTAAGAGAAACATAGTTAATCAACAATATTACAATAATTTGAAATTACTTACCTATAAAATATACATGGTAAAAAAGAGAAAGATAAATCGTTTTGATATCCCGATCAATCAAAATTTACAAACGAGCAACCAAAGAGCAAAATTCTATTCATGGAATTCCAAATAAAGCATTGCTAGTAATAATTGCTTCTGGTAAAATATATTTGAATTTAATATGGACACACTGAATGAATTTTTTTGAACTAGTAAGTGGTAAGGCTAGTTTGGTCAGTTGTGTGGTCTAAATAACTACAAACAAACCAATTAACTGTATGACGTTTGAAGGATATGCACGACAATATTATTAATCAAAAATATGGAACGCGAAGTTTTTTTTACTAAATCATTTACTAGTTAAAAATTCGTGTACTTGGCTTCCAGAAATATGCAGATATCACAACCTATTTAATATGCATTGCGTCCGTCCAAAATAGATCTAATCAGTAGTTCTTTATTTTCACCATAACTGCTGGTTTATTAACCAATTGCCACGAAAAGCACTAAGAACCTTATAGTGACCTAGTAGTTAAAGCATTTGACTTTCATCGATTAGGTTGCAGGTTTGAACCCCACTCCACCTACTTTCGTTCGGGTAATTAGGTAATGTCAGTCAGTCAGCTACAACGTAATAATAGGAATTGAAGAGGAAGGTTGATTATGAATACAGTGATCTTGGGTGCTGTTAGAGGTATGAGGGCGGTTATCACTTCCCGGTTGCCCACACCGTGGAAGGGTTCTTCTGGAGGTACCTGAAAAGGAAATTGGATTAGAGGTGGTCTCAGTGACCTGAGAGCGTGACCGCAGTGCCCAAGGGACAACTGCTTGAGGCCGGCCGCGCACGGCCTTTTCGTGGAAGGTTTTTGACGTGTTAGCTCCGTTCTTCAAAGGGCCTTACCGCCGGAGACGGAAATCCGTGAGGTAAGGTGAGGTGTGCATTTTTAGGGTCGACCTTTTCTAACCCCACCCCTCCTTGTGGGAAGGCAGCATCGCTGTCATGCTGGTTGTCTGAAGGAAACACCTTACTGCTGTCACACCTCTGTACAGTCAGCAGTACGACTTCGCCTTCGGACTCTGGGTTTGTTGCTTTTAGTCTTACCGCTCTTCAACCGACGTGTCTGACATGGTAGGACCTTGAGGAACAGTTGTTCCAGCCAGTATAGCTCGGTTGCTTCATCACGATAGGCAAGCCCGACCACCACGTCAAGGTAGCAACAACGGTCGGGAATTAGGTAATGCTACCAGTCTGTAGGTAGTGTGACGTGGAGCCAAGTAGAAAAACCTGTACTCAATAAATGATTTACACCAGGCAGATTAAAAACTATGGGTGAAGTATAGGTTGAATTATACTTGTTACGTGATGATGGTGAACAGGGTTGCACGGAAGTTTTGTGGTTAAAACAAACAGTAAATACTATTTTAAACTTCAAAAACCAGTGGCGAAATTCTAAATTAGCAAATGATTGAAATGGGTAACTTTAAAAGTGGGACAAATAGTATAAAAGCTGTTACAAATGTGTACAGATTTAACTTGAGAGCTACCGAATTGCTGATTCGCATTCAGCTCTATTCACTTTGGTTTGACAGCCAAAAAGTGGTATCGCAAACCTAACACAGTGTGCTTCAAATTTTGATGACTTTGTGGACCTTTGGTATTTAAAAATCTGGTCGTACAATGCCCAAAATACTATCCAGGGTAGTGGGAACAAGGAATAAGCTACATTTGTTCAAAATGCTCCTGCTGATTAGAATTTACAACTCTATATATCAAATCATCCACATAATTTAATTACTTACATCAAACTACAGACTCTTAGATGGCATCTACTTTCAAGATATTTGCAATACACGTATATTTATTGCTGCGCAACGTATCAATCTTTTGATAGGCCGTCGATGTCTTACTTATGTCAGGGGTGGTAAAAACTGAGGGAAGCTAAATGGGTCTCATTTCAAGACTTTGGCAGTTAACAATTCGCCAAGGTTAAAAAAGGAACTCAGTTTGCTCATTATTACACTAAATTGCGTTAATAAATAAAAATTAGAGCGAAATAAAAGGAAGCACCGGGTTGTAAGTGACAACATGTCTAACCCATCGATTTATTTGTAAGATAAACGTCTACTGCAATATGCAGTCACTGAGTTCCAAACCAACCATGTATAATAGTTGATAGTTGATGATAAGAATTTACACAACCGCTTTTTAGAGACAACTATATGGGCCTAAGTATGATACTGGTGGCGCGGTACAACTGAAATGTCTTAGAAACTTACTGATTATCACAGTCTAAATTTTCCGTTGAAGTAGATTGAAGCTTGATCAGATCTAAACCAGGAACTTGAATTTCAGGACAAAGAGCGACACGAAGGAAATAGACTAAGTATGAGTCTATTTCACACTGAGGTACCAAATGAACATACTGACGTAAGTTAGTCAAACTTTGGAATTTACTTTTACGTGTAGTCACACGAACTGGGTCATGAATCGAAGCTCTTTGGAGCTTCCCAACCTGAAAATTAGTGTTTTAAAAATGTTTAATGTCAATAAATATAATATTCAAAAGCCTCTTACTCAACATTTTGTGAGCGATTCCCGGTAAGAATGAAAGCGAATCATAACAGTCTAGATATATTTCCATTACATAAAACCTTTTGATTTTCAGTTTACTAAATAAGTTAGTACTAAACAAAGAATATTAACATTAGTCTTGTTCAATAACATGTCAACTGTTGATGTAAAACCCATAATAATGTTATACTACGAAACTGTTCTGAAGGAACTGAACAACAAGGAAAGCTTTATTTGTTGCAGTAAAGCTATATAAGCGAAATGTTGATCAGAAGTAATCGAAATTTAGGCTCTGAATAAAATCACATACAAAGACAAGAAGTATGAACATACTAGTTTAGTCCCCGACTAAAACCATTTATTCCTCACCATATGATTTATATTAGTTCTCCGAATAATATCAAACTGTAATGACCACTAATATTGAATAAGTCCATCCTCGACAGGATATGAATGCATACTCGAAAAATCGATTCACAGAAATTTTATTTAACTTTGAACATGAAAAACAATCAGAAATTTTCGCTGGGTCATAGATGGTGTAAGTTTATGAAGCTCAGGAGAAAGTAGAAGTTCTAATGACCACTAAACCACATAAATTCGTAAGATCCCAAAATAAATTAAGTGGGCAACAGAAGGATAGACTGATAGGAAATTGAGTTTGTTGCAACAAATGCACATTGCTCATCTGAGAGACTTAAATATTTTTAATGTAATTCACATTACTTACTAATCATAAGTAGTACGGTGCGGTACACAAAAATATGACGGATGAATAGTGAATTTAGGGTTGATAGGATTAATAAAAAGATTTAACAATTACAACTGTTGGTAACATTACATTAATATATTGGTTTTCTTCTGTTTGACATTCCTTCACTGTGTTGATGTAAAGGTATGTGAGATTGACACACATTTTTTAGGATTATCTGTTGCTTTTCTAAGCTGAATTTAGCGATTGCACATAGTAAGGCAATAACAATGTAGCTAATATGTTGAACTACAACGAGGTATAGTACTTATAACTTTGCATTTACATATGTAGAAACGAAATTCAATATACACAAAGAATACAAAACAAACCTTATCAGTCATGGTAGCAGAGAACAAGAAGGTTTGACGTCGTGCAGGGACAATACATAAGATTTTTTCGATGACAGATTCAAAGTCAACGCCAAGCATTCTATCTGCTTCATCAATGACCAATATTCGTAAATTCGAAAATCTTAACTCATCAAAACCTTTGGTCTTCTTTAAGTGGTCAACAAATCGACCAGGTGTAGCTAAAAAAAAGTGAGAATTCAAATATTCTGCAGATAATCTAAACTACCACAATCAGGATCAAAACTATCACACATGTCAAATAGAGATTCATGTTTCAACATAATTGATCAGTCAGTTACAGTCCTATAGGTAGAAAACGAAACCAATTACCAAAAGGTGTCAGAATCAATAACAGTAGTCTTATTTTACCAGGTTTAATGGCATCGCAGTTTAGACATCAGACTAAGATGTTCGATTTAGACGTATACTGTTCCAACTGTAAAAGAATAGTTTCCTTTTGCTAGTCATTTAGATTAAAACAATAACAAAATTGTTTAGGTCTCAATTTACAAAATTGCCTAAAGTATATCTACGACCCATAATATAACATTTCAGCTAAGGCAACGAATTGAAGTAATCCAGGTGCAAAATAGGAGCTTATTTGTACGAATTCATGTCTCATTTTTGCGACCAAAGCATGTTATATTTAATAAGGTTGAATTTTGCTTTTGCAAATGAGTTTTCAATCATAATTTACTGATGAAATAATTTTTTAAATTCAAACTACTTGAGACAATAAGAGAACGAAAAATAGAACAAAGCAAAGTATCCACAATAGTCTGATAACAAAGTCTCTGCTAAATGTATATAGATGGGTGATGTGTATAGTTTAAAAAGGATAAAAACAACAAAATGGAGAAGTAACCCGACAAAAAGTATGAAATTACCAATCACAACATGGGGAGGTGATACTTTCATTAAATCAGACTGCTGAGTAATAGGGACACCACCCACCAATAGAGCTGTAGACAAACCGATGTTTTTTCCAAGTGCATGAAACTGAGCCTGAACCTGAGCTGCTAATTAACGAGTAGGAGCCAATATAAGTGCGAAGAATGGATGAGGATCTCGCAATAGTTTCTAAACTAACCAACAGTGATTGACCAAAAATAACATACCTGAATTATAGGCAAGGCATAAGCACCAGTTTTCCCAGAACCTGTTTCAGCTAGAGCAACCACATTTCTGCCTAAATATTAAACGTTATTATATTGAATGGATGACGAGACCTTCTAAAGCTGGTGGGATAGACAGAACCTGAATTGCGGTCGGCTCTTTCCATTGCAAGTTATGACATGCTTTTAGAAGCTCATCGCCGATGCCCTGACTTTATAAATGATAACGTATAACTTACCAACTGTGAAAAAGTTTTTTTGTCTTCCATTTATTATATATCGGTTGAATGAACTGGGTTCTGGTATAAAAAAAATACAGACGTCCGTTAAAATTTTTGAGTTGCGTACTATTTCAAAATTATGATAAGATAGTTTAGAAACAATAAGATTACTAACATATAGCGTGTAATTCCATAGTGTTCTAGAAATGAATGAAAATAAAAATTGGGAGTTGCTATTAAATTATCACTAGATTAGTTTACTTGAATAGTTGGTTTTGTTGTGTCTGAAGAAGGTTAAATTATGGGTAACTCCTGGGAACTATTTATGAAATGTTATATATATTCTTAATTTATAACTTAAGTAACTACTTAAGATATATTTATACTTCTCTTATTATAAGGTTTCATTTGACCTATTGGTTATTATCATAGCATTTACTATTCTCAAGTTATTCCCAGTCTATTAGTTACAGTTTCTTACATAGCAACTTTTGGCTTGATCTTGAATAATTATTTTTCGTTTTATAGTTTGATGTGATCAGGTCTACTTGTGCGTAAACTAGGTATGTCTGAAATATACGATTCATAGTGTAAGCCAGAGATATGTCAATCTGAGTCATCTTTTGCTCCATCGTTATGTTAGTTTGTCTGTAAAAGGACGGGTTTACGAAGCGTTGATGTTTGTAAGACCTACCATCTCTGGGTTGAGGATGTTCGGCGACTGTTCGACCACCACCATCTCTTAAGAACTGCCAAAATCTAGTGGTTACATGTTAGCAATGCCGCGGTTTAGTTATTTACTTATTTGAACACAAATATTGGTACAAAAGGGCACAGAATACATAATCGCCACATAAATCATTCGATTTGTATGAGGGTTGGGATGCTGCCCGGGTGCCCAGATCGGAGTAGGTGGATTTCAGAGGGAGCCACACCCAAAGTCTTCGACCTGAAGGTCTGACCCACAAGGCAGTGGAGCAGCGTCAGGGGATGCAGTCACATGGTAGCCGGTGACCAGCAATTGGTTCATACGACATTTGTTCCCTCAGGATCCTGTGGCTCATGTGCACCATTGGTTTGGAACCAGGGTTCTCCAACTCCCCTAGGTGGATCCTCAATATCCATGAACGCGGTTAAAGCGCCATACATTCGCTTCTCGTCCTCTCAATTTCGTAAACAAAAGACGTGGTGCGAGGTAGTGAGTAGGACTTCTCTGGCAGTGGTTGTATACGCGTAGTCACGTGAGAGCATTTCGAGAGGGAGAGTTGACTTTCCCCACCTTCGGCCGTATCAGGGCATTTGGGGGTTTAGTAATGTGTCCAGGCAAAGTAACTACAACTCAACTAGCGTCACTATCTTCAAACACCGATTTCGGCGGCTTGGATACACGCTAGGTATTTCGTCCTAGCGGCTCTTACATCATGGACTAGCTGGTGACATTGGAGTGGGGTGAAATGAGCAGCAACGCAATCAGTTTTATTTTGAAGCATTGTGTGAAAGAAAGCTGTATAGGACTGAGATCTGTTAGTCCATCATGACTTACTGGTTGTCGTCCAACAAACAGTGGAACTTATTTTTTATTATTTATTTGAACACATAAATATTGGTACAAGGGGCCACCAAATATATATCCGCCACACGAAACAATGAGAATGAGAAGAGAAAAAAAGAATGTGAGGGGCGTGAAAGAAAAAAAGAACAATAAAGACCAGATTAGTGTAAAGTAGTGTAATAATAATAATAATAACAATAATAACGGCGGAAACGGAAAGGTACAGCCAGAAATCTTGTAGATACAACCACTTTTTATAAAGAAAGTAAAAAAAGGTTACAGCAGGATCGCCACTGGCTTCTATTCTGAGCCATATCTTCTAGCCACTGTGTCACACCATCTCTAGGACCCCAAAAACCAGGGAGTCGTGAATAACCAACAGAAGCCAGCCCTTTGCACACTCCTTTCATGCCACAATACCATGTCATACACTGACCACCTCTCCGCTTTTTCCAACCAGTTCCAGAGTCGGCAAATAATGCACGACGTGGAGCCCCCGAATGCCCTGGTACGGCCGAGAGTGGGGTGAGTCCGCTCTCCCTCTCGAAATACTCTCACACGGCCACGCGTATACAGCCTCTGCCAGGGAAGTCCTACTCATTGCCTTCTCGTGGCGGGGGTGTTGTTTATGAAAATGAGAGGACGAAAAGCGAATGTCCGGCGCTTTAACCGGATCACAAACCAACGGTGCACATGGGCTCCAGTATCCTGCGGGAACAAATGGCGTATGAACCAATCTTTGGTCACCGGCTACCATGGGATTGCATCTCCTTACGATGCTCCACTGCCTTGTGGGTTAGACCTTTAGGTCAAAGGCTCGGGGTGTGGCCCCCTAAGATAACCACCTGCTTCGGTTTGGGCACCCGGGCAGTATCACAGCCCACACACAAACGATGAACTCTATGTCTATGGCAACTGCTTTTCTCTATGTCTATGGCACGACGTGGAATTCTCTGCGACGACATTCGTATAGCATGTCCAAGCCACCAAAGTCGATGTTTCGAGATGGTGACACCAATTGCATCATCGTCTTTGAGCCCAAACACACGATGCCGAACCTCTGCATTACTAACATGATGTTGCCACTGGATGTCAGCAATCCTTTGGAGACAACGATGATCGAACACAGAGAGTCGTCTAACGTCCTCGACTCGGAGAGGACAGGTTTCACAAGCATAGAGCGGAACTGCTCTCACCGACGCGTTGTAGATTCGACCTTTTACAGCCAGAATAACATCACGAAGGCGCCAAAGATGGCCCAGATTGGCATAAACCGCTCTGGCTTTCATTATACGTGCATTGATCTCATCACTCACACCCCCACCAGCACTTATACAGCTACCTAGATACACGAACTTCTCGACTACTTATTTCTGTTCACCATCCAGGGTGAGTACAGGATTATAACCCTGCCAGTCTTGTAGAAGAGCTTAGCACTTCGAAGGTGCAAAGCACATACCATACCTACGGACATTAATTGCCAACTGATTAAGTGCGGATTGCATGCCTTGGGCATTATCGCACAGTAAGACAATATCATCCACATACTCAAGGTCGAGAAGTCTTTCCCCAGGCAGCAGATCCACACCGCCATTACTTACATCCATCACAGCTGTTTCCAGAATGTCATCGATGGCAAAGTTGAAGAGGAATGGTGAGATTGGACAACCCTGTCTAACCCCACTGCTTGAATGGAACAATGGAGAAAGGTAGTTGTATGCCCTCACTCTACCTGAGGTTTTTGTATATAGGGCTTTTAAGATGTTAATAAACTTCTCAGGCACACCCTTCTTCAATAGACAATCTTAGAGAACGGTTCTGTCCAACGAATCAAAGGCAGCCCTGATGTCAAGAAACACTACGATTGTTGGCCTTTGATAAGTATGACGGTGTTCTAACATTTGGCGTAGGGTGAAGATGTGATCAATACATCCAATACCAGAACGAAAACAAGCCTGCTCCTTGCGAGTCAATCTTTCTCGGGTTTTGAACGTCCTACGAAGTATGGCGGAAGCCAATAGCAATCGGAAGTAAACTTATCCCGCGATAGTTGTTACAGGAACGTCGCGAACCCTTTTCAAATATAGGGACAACTATCGACTCATTCCATGACGTTGGAATACTCCCTAGTTCCCAGACCTTTGTAAACAACACAGCCAGTTCCTTAACCAGAGGTAAGTCATCTGGGCCCGGTGACTTCCGCCTCATTTGGTAGATCAGTCGTCACCGGCCATGGAGGGCAGGACAGTCTGACCGATGCTGCCCTTCGAAGAATTCTGCCTATCGTCCAAGACATTGATAGATGTTAGTGATTGGCATCCCATCATCATCACAGATTGTTTCGCTCACACCAGACTTCTTGCTACCAGTGGCTCGGATGAGTTGGAAGAGCTTCCGGTAGTTACAAGATGCAACTGCTGCTTCCAGCTCATTAGCACGCTCCGACCACCAGGCTTCTCGGTCCTTACGCAAGCTTGCCCGATTTCATTACGTAACAGCCTTCGTTTGTGGTCAAACTCACGGTCACCCGGAGTAGACCGACGGGCTTCGATGAGTTGTAAGGAGCCTGAAGAAACCCAATGCTTATAAGCGGGACGTTTCGTGAAGCCGCAAGCGGCTTCACTCGCCATTTTCATGACGTCATGCAGTTGCAAACAATGCTCATCTATACTTTTCGGTGCAATGGTAGCTAGCCTAGAGGCTAGCTCGGTTCGATACTTACTAGCAACAGAAGTTCCAATCAACATGCTGACATCAATCCTTTGGCAGCGGTCACTTCGTTGGCCACTGAAAAGTAAGGTAAGATTGGCGCAGGCCAGGACATGATCAGAGTCCAGATAGGTACTCCAAAAGGATCAACAGTCTTGTACACAACTACGCCAGCGTAGCTGATCGCGATGTAATCAATCTGAGTCCAGGCTTGAGATGCAGAGGGAGGACGCCAGGTGGCACATCAGCGATGACTGTGCCGAAAGTTAGTGCTAGCCAGAAACAGATTGTGGTCTGTGCACAGTTGCAGTAGACGGTCCCCTTTATCTGTCCTGCGACCAACAAGTCCCCACCAGCCACCTGAACGACTCTTTTCTGTGCCTAGACGCCTGACCTGAGCATTCAAGTCTCCGGCTAGTACTACAATATCTGTCGAACGAACTTAATGTCTCCAGATGTTATGATACAGCTCAGAATAAAGGCTAATGGAGACCCTATTGTAGTTTTTAGATTTTTTATATAAATGAAAGGAACTTCCTTAAGTGAAAGATGATTTTCTTGGTTGTATTTCGAATGAACTATTTTTCTTATCACATACTATTCTTATTCACTTTTATTTGCTTGTCTGCTTTTGATTGTACCCTTTTTTTCTTTGTTACATTACAATATGACTTTTTTACTTGTATAGTGTTTATTTGTTCTGGTACTCATTTGTGTACAAAATAAAAATTGAATTCATCGACAATACGTGGTATTTATCAATTTTTGAGTTGTTATTGGGTTTTTTGATATTACAACTGCCTTCGATTTGTTAGACAGAATTACACTCCAAAACCGTATAAGGAAAGGGTGTCTCAAAAGTTTACCAACCTTTTTGAGACGCTTCATAAAAAACTGTCGGGTAGAAGTCACACAGCAACATGCTCTATTATC